GTGAGCCCACCATCCGTCTCTCTCTCAAACCCCTATTCTCTCCAGCCCACATCACTATTACCACCGTAGCTGCAGCCCTGACATTTCACACTTGGATTCTATGACAACAGCCTCCAAGCCAGTCTTTGGTCTTATCCCACGCTCCCACCTACCCCCTGCACAGTCCCACTCCACTAAAACCACGGTGAGGTGCCCCATTAACTAGGAAAATAAAGCCTGAACTCCTCCTCGGGGAATTCAAGGCCTTGCAGACTGATCCCAGCCCAGCTCTTTACCTTCAACTCTTTAACCCACCTCCTGTTCCTCGCACACTAAACTCCTTTCTCAGGTTTCTAAGGTCCTTTATGCTTCCTTATCTCAGCAGCTGCTCCTCACTTTGGGACTGCCGTCTTCACTCTGTAACCTGACTGCAGTGAGCAATGTTGGTTGTGCACTCAAAACCCACTCCTCACTTCCTACGCAGTAAAAGAATCCCAGGTTTATTCAGATACCGCTCTTCTCGGACTGACCCTACCTTTAACCATGAGGTATGTCAAAACCAATTGTGTGACCAGTCCTGTCCGATAAGAGAGATGGGAAGTCCACCGAAAGGCTTCTGGGAAAGCTTTTAGCCCATTTAACACTGGACACTGTCGCATCTAGGATTGTGGCAATCACCCTGTAACCACTATGGGGGAGATTTTAGGACAAAGCTGCCGAGCTGAGAATGGCAAAGTACAAAGACAGAATTTGGATCTTTGGTGCAGCCACTTAACTGCTGAACTAACCAAGTGGCAAATTATCGTATATTGGGATTATCTTTATATAATACACTGTCTTTAAGCATTTGAATGAAAGTTTTCTGTTATTTGCAACTAATAACATTCTTTTTTTTTTAATTGAGATATAATGGACATATAACATTATATTAGTTTCAGGTGCATAACACAATGATTTGACATCTGTACATTGTAAAATTATCAGAAGTCTAGTTAACATCCATCACCACACACAGTTGCAATTTGTTTTCCTTGAGAACTTTTAACATCTACTCTCTTAACAACTTACAAATATACAATACAGTATTATTAACTGTAGTCACCATGCTGTATGTTATAACCCGTGACTTATTTCATAGCTGGAAGTTGGTGCTTTTTCACCTCTTTCACCCACTTTGCCCCTCCCTCTCCAACCACCTCCCCACACCCCGCCCTCTGGCAAAACCACCAATCTGTTCTCTGTATCCCTGAGCTCAGGGTTTTTGGGGATTTTCTTTTTAGATTCCACAATAAGGGAGATCATACAGTATTTGTCTTTCTCTGTTTGACTTCTTTCACTTAGCGTAATGCCATCAAGAGTCATCCATGTTGACACAAATGGCTTGATTTCCTGTTTTTATGGCTGAAAATTAATCCATTGTGTATATACATATATAATAAAAATACACACACACACACACTCACTCTAAAGAGGCAGGGTACCACATTTG